ATGTGTTGGCCCAGGGTGGAATTTCTGGCCTGCAGCCGCAGCATGCCTGGGGGAGGGGTCCCAGGGTCTATGGCAAGCCCCTCCCTGCCCTGGGTACAAGATGGGAATGGGATGCACCCAGCGGCAAACCCCACCGAGAGTCAGTGGCCTCGTCAGCTGAGGTCCCTGCTGGGGGCGCGGCAGGTCCTTGTCTAGCTCACACCCTTGGGCCTTGCTGACTCCGGTCACCCAGGCCATGACAGCCTGGCGTGTACCCACCCCTGTCCACCAAGGCCTCAGAACTGTCCCATGCGAGGATGATGCTGAGCCCAGGAGCGCCAGACCGAAGGGCATGTCATTCTTGAAGGGCTGAACCTCTCACCAGGGCATGCACCGATCACAGAGTCATCTGCCATCCTCTGTGCCACCTGCAGTTTTAACCTGGCCCTGTGCCTGGTGCTGCCACACCTGCTCCCCAGGGGCATCTCCCACAGCTCCCAGAGGCCTGAGGAGCCCATGCCAGCCCCCTGGGAAGAAGAGCAAATGGCCAGGGCATGGCCATCATGCTTCCTGAGGCTGCTCCTGCTCACCGTGCATCTTCTGTCCCTCCCAGGCCAGAAGTCAGCATTGCTACCCAGAAAACCTGAGACAGAGCCATTCCTCAGGGCCCAGAGGCCGAGCAGCAAAGGGGACCGACCCCCTTAGGCCAGAGTGTGACACAGGAAATGAAGTCCCTTTCCCATCTGGCTTCTTAGTACCAGGTGGGCTTGCTCTGGGCAGAGGTGGGGGCCGGGGCGTCACACTCAGCTTGCCCCCCCCATCTCCCACCATCTGTCCTGCCCTCAAGGGAAGCCAGGTGCTGCGTCTCCCACAGGCAGGATGTGAAGGACACACTGCCCACCCGCCTGCCCGCTGCAGCCCGGCACACTCGTCAAAGGCAGTAACTGTCGGGAGAAATTTGCCAGCAGAGTGAAATAAAGAGCCTTGAAGGTAGAGAGAGTCGGAGCTGCCAATAAGAAGCTGTTTTATACACACTTTCATTCCCTAGATTGAAACGAGAACACAGAGTTTTTTGGGTTTTCTTTTTTCCTTGTCATCTGAGCCAAAGCCTTTATGTCCCAGGAAGGCCAGCGTGGGTGTGAGAGAAATCAGTGAGGGTGCAGACAGCACTGGGGAGGTCTGGCTGCCCCAGCCCCTGTGGTGGCTGGGGGGGTGGGGGGAGCGGCGCTCCTGCCCTCCCGAGCTGCTGCTGAGAACCCCTAGGGCTCTCCTGCAGGCCAGAGCTTGGGACGCTCATGCCCTAGCTATGCTCCTCCCTACGCCCATCCCCACCCACCTGGCTGCAGAACCAGCCACAGGCCAGGCAGCCCCAAGGGCTTGCTCCTCTGCCCCCTCGCAGGGCACAAGGGACGTTGCATGGAATTCTCTAAGGGACCCCCGCAGCTCCTCATCTTTTCCACCTTGCTGTCTCCTCTTTTTATGTGATTCAGTTTAGGGGCTAAGGCTCATGGTAGAATGTTGAGAAAAGGAATGCGCACAAAGGAAAAAAAAAAAAAGATAAAATTGCCCGCTGATCCTTTCACTGCGGTGTGCTGTGGTCCGTCTCCTTCCACATTTGCAAACATTGGCTCCCACTGTACTGCCTTCTCTGGGAGCTGCCTCTCCCACCGCCCAACGCTGGATATGAACATCGTTCTCCGAAGTCTCCTCCATTCCTCGTCCGGCGGGTCTGTGGGGTCCCACATGACGGCAGCTGTGATTTCTCACTCACTGACTGGGAACATTCAATACCACAGCAGTGACTGTGAATCGAGCCTGCGTGCATACATAAAATTTCCCCTCCATGAATCATAACAGCATCTTTATACCCTCAGAAATGGTCTTATGCAGATGGGCGAGACACATCATTTATCTGCTCCACAGGCAATCTCCAAAGTGCCTGTGGACCCCTTGTGAACAACGGTGGCCACTTGGGCTGGGAGGGGCTGGGGTGGGGGCCCAGTGGTGTATGTCGGGGTCCAGGGAGGGGTGGGTGTGGACTGCAGCAGGTCCCACATGTTGAATGAGCCACTGCTGTTATTTGTGATTTGCATCCAAATTCCCTCCCCTCTCAGTTATGGTCACTCCCAGCCCCCTGCCCCCCTGCTCACCCCAGGGCAGGTAACCCTTAGCCGGCAGCCATGGGGATGTCAGTGAGGAGTCAGGAGACATGCAAGGGCAGCCCAGCAGCTGAGTTGGAAAAGAGACAGATCCCACAGGACCCAAGAGGATCAGCAGAGATGGGGCTGAGTCTCCCCAGGCAGAAGTCTCCGGAAATGGAAGCACAGCCTTCTACCATGTGTGCCCAGGAGCCAGCAAGAGCACAGGCTCTATGGTGGGCTCGGGGAAATCCCATGAGCATGGCCTAGCAGGGCACGGGCCGGTGCTGCTGAAAGAGCTTCTAAGGTCAATCAGCCCTGTCCCTCCACTTGATGGTTACCCTCGCTCTCGGACTCAGACTCTTGACAATGATCTACAAGACTCACAAGACTTGGCCTCTGCCTGCCTCTTCCACCTCATTCTGTAGCTCATTCCTCCCTCAAGCCCCAGCCCTGGGGTTTTCTTTGCTGTGCACAGGGCCTTTGTATGGCTGTTGCCTTTGTCAAGATGGATCTTTCATTAGACCTTTGTACTGCCCATTATTCAGATATCTCCTCCTTATTCAGATGAGACTCCTCAAAGAGGCCTGCCCTGCCCTTCCAAGGCCAAGTAGCCAGCCAACCCTTTTCTTTAGTATCACTAGTTGTCTGCCTCACTTTTCACCCTCTGAGATGTTCTTACTTTTATATTTCTGCACATGTTTATCATCTATGTCTTTCCCTGGCTGTAAGATACAGAGGAATGAATATGTTCCTAGAATAGAACCTGACATTCAGTAGGTGCTCAATAAGTACCCAATGTATACATGATCAATAGTGAGATTCTTGCTTAAATCCTTGAGAAACTTCTGTTGTTAGAGCAGACATACAGGGAATGGAGAGGATTCATTTTCTGCTCCTGGGCCAATCAATCGGTAGAGGCTTCTCAGAGGACCACTAGGTTGGGAAAGGTATGAGGTCACAGATGAACTCTGTGATCAATTAGTAATGTCTGCCATGGGCACAGTCAGAGGCAAAGCTGCATGTACCATCTATCTGCTGCACTTGGATTAGATTGGAGGCCCCTAGAAATAAGATAGGGCCTCTTTAGCTTCCTTTGAGAGTGCTAGCATCTGGTGCAGGCTGGGTGTTTGGTTGTGACAGATGTTGGCTGACTGGCCAATGGGGAATTGTTTGACTTTGCGGCTCAGGCTTCTGAAGAGATAGGAGAAAACATCTAAGCCAGTGGCTTTCAATTTTTAAGAAAAACCTGCCATGTTTTCTTCAAAGGACAACTTACTTGAAGCCTGATATCAGGTGATAAAAGAAAAACCTCTCTGGCTAAAGGGGCTTGGATCCTAGAGCCCCAGCTGCCTGCATCCTGGTCCCCAAAGACATCTCTGAGATATCTTCCAGGAACCTGATGGCTCCCCAGGACCCAGGGTGAGAACCATGGGTGAGAAACCCAAGGTCCAGAGAGGAAATGACTTACGCAGCATCACACTTGGGTAGCCTTCCCTCTGGTCTGAGCTTTGAAGCCAAGAAAGGACAGGCCTTGCCTCCCTGGGTCTGGGTGGATGGCAGGCCCTGCAAGGGGACACATGGCCCTCCCTGGCACAACCCTGGCAGGGGGCAGTGGCTTCTGCTCTGTTTATCCTGTTCTTGGACCCCTGAGGCTCAGCATCAGAAAACAGCTTCCTCTCCCTGGCTGTGCTTTATTAATTAAAGCATTTCCCCTCTTTGGTAGCTGCTGCTTCCAAAGAGCTCAGTGAATGTTTAATTCATCTGTTCTGAGCTGTCCCCCACCCCTGACTCCACCAACACCTCTCTCCTTCAAAGTGCATTCTCTTTCCAGGAAACCCTCCCAGTGCAGCAGCCGGGATGAGGCCGGGTTGCCTGCTTCTCTGTGGAGCCTCGGTGCCATTTTTCTCTCAGCTGGAGAATCCACAGGAAGGAATGGGGCTGGGTGCGCCCCCAAGTTCAGCAACTAGAGGTCCCGTCAAAGGCTGCGATTCCTTGAATGACTACATGGGAATTTAACAACTGTCTTCCTGAGCCATTTAGAGGCAAAAAATGAGGACATTGATTACCCAGTGATGTTGATTAGAGGCTGTGGCCCCCCAAGGTGCGTGGGGGGTGGTGCTGCTGGCATGCAGCTTTCTCTTGGAGAGGACCTGAGGAAGGGGACCTGGTGGGGTGGGCCCTGTCCTCTTCATGCCTGCAGTCAGCAAGATAGAAGAAGCTGTCGCCCAACATCTGACCATAGGCTCGTCTCCTGCAGGGTCCCATGAACCAGTGACAAGTGACCCCCCTCCCCCCTTGCAGAACCCCAGATTCCTCCAGTCCCGAGGCTGGGCTCTATGAACTTCAGCATTTGTCCTAGATTCCCTTCCCAAGGAAGTGCTAGAGCCCCCTGATTCATGGCACCCCCTGATCTACAGTGTCCCCCGAGCCTGCTGGGCTGGCCCCATGGCCCTCAGTCAGTGAGTAGTGCCCACACTCACAGCATGGGTGGTGCTCATCAGCGATCTCAGAGCTGGAGCCCAGCAGGGTGGCACCACGGAGCACCTGCCAGTGCAGATGCTGGGCAAAGTGGGCCACAGCAACCTTCCTGAGTCCTCACCCAACTCTAAGAGTCAGTGCCATTTCATGAATGAGTAAACTGAGGCAGGTGAAGACCGTGTCCTTGCTCGATTGCTCAGTATGGGTGGCAAGTCTCCATCTGGTCTGCAGGACAGTGCCAGATGGGTGGCCCACACTCGTCACTGCTGGGCAGCACCCAGGTGAGCAAGGGTCGGACAGACTGGGCTCGAGCATAGTGTGGCCCTGAGCAAGTCACCCAACCTCTTTCTGCCTCAGTTTCCTCATGAAGACAAGGTCTGTGCTTACTTGCAAAGGTTCCTGTGAGGATTCTTCCATTTAGACAATAAATATTCATGGAGCATCTATGTGGCCTAGTAAATTGATGGTGTGGTGTGTTAGAAGGACAAGAGGAAGAGCAGGACAGGAAGGGTCCTGTGTGTGCCACCCCGCGAATGCTGTGGACAGAGCAGCCGGTGCTGCCACATTTAATGGGAGTGGGGCCAGGGCAGGCCTCATGGTGGAGGACAGGGCCAGCTGGAGGGTGTCAGGGGTGTTTGTCCCGAGGTTCCTGCAGACCCTGGCTGTCCCCGGAGTGGACAGGAAGGGATGTTACAAGCACAGCCCAGCACAAGCAGAACGCGTTACATGTTTGTTACTCCTTTAAAATCTTTCTTCTGTAAACAGGCTGGGGGAGGCCATTGTAGCCTTCGGAAAAAGTGGTCCTCTTGCTCCTAGAAACAAACATGGCCCAATTAGATACTTGTCTCATCGAGGGAACTTCTCTTCCTGCTCCTGCTGGGGGTCTGCTCTTGGGGTTGACTCCCCAGTGGGGAGGACTGGACAGGGACGAGCAAGGAGGAGAAGAAAGGGAGGAAGGAAAGAGAGGAGGAGAGGAGAGGAGAAAAGGAGGAGGTGGGAGGCAGGAGGAGAGAGAGGAAGGAGGGGAGGCAGAGACAGGGAGCACGTTTTGGGGGGTGAGTGTCATTCAGCCTTCTCCCTGGAGTCCCCACATGGCTCCCTCCCAGGAGGGCTCTGTGCAAGCTTCAAAGAAGTGGTTATTTTGGGTGGCAGTGTGATTGGGAGCTTGGAAAGCAGGAAATTGAGTGGTGATTAAGGTTGTAATAAGTTGACAACATCAAATATCATTACCCCTAGAACATGCAAATGATCACGTCTTTACCAGGATTTGCCATGCAAATACCAATTAGAGGGGAAAGTATTTGCCTTGCTAGGGGGAGGCTGTCTTTCCTTTCCATGCCCCCCTACTGTCCCTGCAAGAGGGTAAACAAGCAGGAGGAGGCAGTGCTTGAAAATCACCTGCAGAGGAGAGGAGGAAGCAGGGCTCAGGCCACAAGGGCTGGGTGACCTCTGGCCTCCACGAAGACTGCCAGACCCTCAGACCTAGGACCTACCTGGCCCAGGCTCCACCTTCCATGCTGGCTGCAGGGGCTGCCAGAGGCTTCTTGGACCAGGCTGTGGCCACTCTGTGTGCTCACCCCAGTAGCCTTTGCAGCCTGGGGAGCCACTGCTGTCAGAAACTCACCTTCTGCAGCTGGGGCTGCATGGGCCATGGCACCTTGCAGGGCAGGAGCCTGGAATGAGCCCTGCAGGATGGTTTGGCGGCTGTGGCCAGAGTCCTCACATTGCTGTGCCTTGGAGATGATCTCTGAAGGGTCCAGGGTGGAGGGCAGGGCGCACTGGAAAGGAGCCCTGGGTGCTTCTCTCTCTTGGCCAGATATTTATCCCCTGTCCCGCATACCTGGCACCAGGCACTGCCCCTGAAATGTAGTCACTGGCAGAGTCAGCAGCTGACAGGGTGAGTGGTTCCCACCTGGGGGCCTAGGCTGCCACACGGGTGAGCTTGCTCTTTTCATGGTGGCATGAGAAGGCGGGCAGAATTTGGGCTGAGCCTTGGGCAGAAAGAAGGAAAGGAGATTCTTAGAGGCAAGGAAGGAGAGAGGCCAGACGTGGAGTCAGACTGTGTGCTGTGTGCAGTGATCTGTGGGTCCAGCATCTGCCCATCCGGCCTAACCACCCGGCTATCCTGCCCTGGTCCTCTCATCCTGTCCTCCAAAGCTCGCACCACCCCATTGTCCAAGCCATCAACCTGACCCACCCAAGTCCACCAGCTCATCACTCACCCATCACGCAGCCCATCCATCCCCCTCCAGCCCAGAGCAACCTCCACCTGCCACCCACCCTGCAGCCGAGGTCACAAGCACCGTGCCTCATCTGTCACTTTCTACTGCGATCTCTATGTCTTGGGGTTCTTGGCTTCGGAATGAGGGTGGCAATATCCTGTGAGACGCATGTGCACAAGGTCTGGGATGGAATAAGTGCTCCACATTAGGTGGCACTTGTTCCCAAGGTCCATCCAGTTTCTCCAAAAGCCAAGGGGCCAAGCAGGCAGGGGAGCACTGGGGTGGGAGCTGAGCTAGAGGAAAGTAACTCACAGAGACCAGAGGACAGAGCCCTGAGTTGGGGCCCAGCAGGTCAGATGCCCACATGCAAATGTGGAAGGTAGGAGACAGCTGCTCAGGGGTCCCCTCTTGTCCCACTCCAGCTTGGAAAGCCGGGTCCCCCAGTGTGTCAACAGGGAGCATGTCTCACTCCCAACACCCTCATACCTGCTGCTGCCAGGCACAGCCCCAGAGGGCTGGCCCAGACCAGGCAGCGGGAGCAGGTGCACAGGAGCCTGTTCGTCTTTCTGCCTCCAGAGATCCCAGCTGACCCAACCTTCAGCCCTGGGGCTGCAGAGGGAAGGGAGGGTTTCCTGCAGCCCAGCCCCAGACCGAGGCCTTCAGTGGCTTCTAGGCAGCCACTTCAAGAAATCCTTTTGATCATCTGGATCCAGGTCTTATTAATGCAGCAAATCCCTTAAATTCCAGGGGATTCTCTCTGATGTCTAACGGGGATCCTTTCACAGGCTTCTTGGAGTGTGCTCGGCTGAGTCTCCCCGCCACCACCTCCTGGCTCTGCAGCCACTCGGGCCACAGGAGGTGGGGAGGCTCAGAGAAGCTGCTGGCGACATCCCCCGCCCCATTGCCTGATCACCAGGTTGGGGTGCCCAGCCCAAGGCACAGGCACAGGCACAGGCGGGACTAAGCTGGGTCATCAGTGCGGCCACCTGGCTGGCGGAGCTATTATAAGGCCCAGCGCAATTTCATGCCCTGTTTCCTCCCTCCTTGGTCTGAGTTTCTGCTCTATTTGCCCAAAATGAACAGAGATGAAGTGAAATGAATTAGCTGCTCCTTCCTCTCGTTCCCTTTCCCTCTGGCCATCTGCCTTGTGTTCTCTTCCCCAGTTGCCCGGTCCTTAGCTTTGCTTCCCCAATTCCCTTTCTCCTTGTTTCTTTAAAATCTGCAACTCCAAGCTGGGCATGGTAGTATGCCTGTTGTCCCAGCTACTTGGAGACTGAGGCTGGAGGATCTCTTGAACCCGGGGGCTGGAGACCAGTCGAACAACATAGTGATTCCATCTTTAAACAAACAAACAAACAAACAGATAATAAACAAATCCACAACTCCACCTGGCACTTACACATGCAGTCAGTCAACAAATGTTCTCAGGGCAGCACACCAGGGCAGGTGCCTTGTCATTCCTGGCCTCTCCCTGCGCTGTTCTGCCTGGGCAGGGGGTGCCTGGGCTGGGTCATGTGACAAGTGCTCTGTTCAGAGCCTGTTAGTCCCCGGGAAGGAGGGGCTACATTCCCTCTGCCCTGGTGCAGCCATTTCTGTCTCCACTCAGGGAGTTATGGCTACACCGTGGCCCTAGGGTGCCCCCTAAATGTCAGGCTCACTGCCAGTGAAATCCTGGCCCCCAGTACTAATCCTGGCCAGGAACCAACTTGACCCCAACCACAGGTTGTGAGGCATCGGTGCCTGGCCCCTCTTCTCAGGATAGTGCTGAGTCCCTGCACGCTGGCCCACGAAGCCCCTGCGGTGGGTGGTGGAGGGGGGCTTTGGTCCAGCCAGTGCTCAGCCTCTGAAGGCAGGCACTGAAGCTGGGATCCGCCAAGTGGAGGCTTCCAGGGCCACACCTGACCTCTGCGTGGAACAAAGGAACAGCTGGCTTGCAGAGGAAAGGAGAGGGCCCGGGGGACATGCAGAGCATCCCAGGAAAGGGATACCCTCGGGGGCGAAGGGATGGAGAACCAGGGGACTGAGGGGACTGGAGAGAGATGGAGCTGGGAGAAGAAAGACAGAGCTCAAGAGATGGAGAGAGCAGAGGAGAGGCAGAGAGAGGGGGAGAGAAGCAGGGAGGAGACAGAGGAACCCCAGGGAGAGAGAGAGAGGCCGGGGCAGTGCCCCATCCTGCATCTGCCGTGGGCTGCTCCCTGGTGAAGGAGGGGTCTCTCTGCCTTGAGCATCTCATTCCCTCTTCTGTCGGTCCCAGGAGGAACCTTTAAAGTCACATGATAAACTCCCCTGCAGCAGCGAGCCAAGGGGACTTCAATGTGACCCTGTTTCCTCTGGGCGTGCACGGGGAATGCAGACTGGCGCCTGCTCCCAGGGCCCCACACTGTCCTCCTGTCCTCCCTGCCCACTGACATCCCAGCCAGCATTCCCTCCCCTCCCTGGGGTCCTGGTCTGGCAGCAGCTTCACTCTTCTGAGCTTGGTGGGCAGTCAGCTCCTGTGTGGTGTCACTGAGTGCCTGCACGGGCCATGTGCCAGGCCTGGGGCTTCATCTGTTTCTTCTACAGCCCTGGGACGCTGGCATGGTCTCTGTCACTTACAGACTAGAACAGGCTCAACCCGCCAGGGCTACTCACCCAAGCTCTCCAGCAGGTGAGAGGAGAAGCAGAGATTCGATTCACATCCTTACTCCGACTCCAGAGCCTTCTTCACTGTCCTCAAGTTCAGACCCTTCTCTAGGTGTCGCAGGGTCCCTCTCTTAGGAGCACACTGTGTGACCCCCTCCCTGAGCCTCCTGCCCAGGTTGCCCGGCTGCTGGCTGGATCGGGGCCACGCCTGTCATTCCAGGCTGAATTGGGATGTTTCAGGATGGCTGTGATGGTGCCAGTTGGGAACAGCAGACCCATGACCCAGTCCAGCAGGCCTGGGACTCCTGAGCCACCCTCCTCTAGCTGCTGAGGCTTCGTTTCCGGAGCAAGTGTGCTTTTGGCATCAATCAGGACCCTCACCAAGGAGGTCAGTGTGTGGGCAGGGCAGGGGAAGGCCCGGGTAGCCTTCCCCCAGATGTCCCCCTTCCCCCAGACCAAGAGCTGGGTCTGCTGGGTCCTCAGTCTTAGCTCTGGAGTTCTAACCTTCCTCATTTCCAAACCTTCCAGATGCTAAACCAGGAGTGGTCAACTCAGAGTCCCCCAGGCCCAGAAACAAAAGGACAAAGTGCGGGCTGTGTGGGGCTCTGTAGAAAATGATGAGGGGGGCCGGGGATTTAGCTCAGTGGTTCCGGCGCCTGCCTTTTAAGCACAAGGTCCCAAGTTCGATCCCCGGTACCAAAAAAAAAAAAAAAAAAAGAAAGGCCCTTGGAGCCTGGTTTATGCAAATTCACCATTTGGGGGTCAGGGATTTAGCTCAGTGTTTCTACTGCCTGCCTCACAAGTGCAAGGCCCCGAGTTCGAGCCCCGGTACCAAAAAAAAAGAAAGTGATGAGGACTAAAGGTGACAAGCTACCCCGGGGGACAGCGAGCTACCCGGTGCCAGTCACCATTGGATTGTGGTCCAGCATGGCTCAGTTTTCTTATTGCTCAAGAGAAAGGACAGACCTGGGTTTTCATACAAATGTATTCTTTTTGTTGAAATACGTTGCAGGCCAGACTGCGTCTCCAGGCTGTCCATTTGGAGTCATTGTTCTAAACGCCCCGAGTTCTAAAGCTCCAGAACTCTCTAGAATGCCAAGTTCCCGCTCTGGACATGGCCATGTGGGATGGATGGATCCCATTTGCCAGGCTGAAACTGTTTCCAAACCACTGCCTTTGACAGAAGGGGTGGTAATTACACTCTGACATTAATATTTAAACCACAAACAGAGTTAGCGTGCTAATGCTGTCCCTGAAGGCTTTGGACTCGTTTAAGTTTTATCCTTGTGAGACCTAATTATTGTCAGCAATGAATCCTGGCTGACTATAGGATTAGAGCCAGGGAGGAGCAGGCAGGAAGAGCCCCGGGCTGGTGGATTACGGGGGGGACTGAGACGTAGGGAGGCTGGAGGGTGGGACCTGAGGGGCTTGACTGGGGCCTGGAAAAGGGGTGAGGGAACAGGGAGGCTGAGACAACCACAAACAGAGCCCGGGGCTCAGGCACCAAGGGCCAAGGTCTAGAGCCCTGGGCAGGTGAGAGGCCTGGCTCTGCCCTCGCCTCAGCTCTGTGGCCTCAGCCAGCCAGCCTGGCTAGACCTCATTTCCGCCTCCGTAAAATGAGACCATTTCTGGGGTGCAGGATTGGAGGGAGAGTTAAGTGAGAAAATATGATCCCAGAGGCTGGCCCCCAGCGAGGGCTTGGTGAGCAACGGCTGCCAGTCTTGTTTCATTGCCTGTTGCCTCTCACACTTGCCAAGGATGATTTCCTGGGAGCAGAGCAAATGGACTGGGGTTCTTCCCCATGACAGCACCCAGGCCCTACCTCCCCAGCCCCACTGCAGCCTCCCCAGTGCACCAGGGCCTCACTCCACGTCTCTGATGCGCCCCCTCCCAGCCTACACTGGAGACACACAGGCTGTGAATTTTCTTAGTTTATCTCAGGGAAAGAAAGGCCCAAGATCAATGCCCTTGGAGGAATCTGCTAGAGGAACAATGGAGCCGTAACTCAGCCAGGGCCTCCCTGGCAGCTGAGCTATGAGCCGCTGCCATGGGGTCTGAGAACTCACAAGCCGCCAGGCTGGGCGCTGAGCCTTTCGCCAGCCTGGACTTCTGCCTTAGGGACCAGAATCCGAGGAGGAAACCACATTACTGAGGACAGCAAATGGGGAGTCACCAGCTTGCTCCCCTTGAAGCCAGGAAGAAGCTGAAAGAGCCAGAAGGTGCTGCGCCCACTCCATTCCTTGGCTCTCTGCCCTCTCCCCAGCAGCCCCCGTGGGTGGGGTGGGGCCCAGAGCTGCCTCCGCAGGGTGACTGGGGCGTCTCCCAGGACAGACAGTGCACCGACCCTCTGCTCCAGCAGTTTCATTCCCAGGCCTGCGGCTGCAGAGAGATCTACCTGCGCACCAGGAGCTCTGTGCCAAGCCGGTGGCATCGGTCACAGTGGCCGAGGGACGGGAGGCCACATGATGCCTGTAAATAGGGATGGGTTGGAAAGATAGCTCTGGCTCACTGCATCTGAATGAAGTCGAGGGACGAGGGAGGGGCTCAGAGTGCAAGTGGGGACAGCGCCAGGCTTCTCTGCGAGGGGAAGGTGGGGTGAGGGGCACAGAAGTACCTGGAAGAGTGCAGCCCTAAAGAGGGAAGGACAGACGCCACCCGACCCACTCAGACAATGCCCAGAGTGGTCAGTCAGGGTCATGGGGAAGGAAGTAGAAAAGAAGCGGCCAGGATCTTGGGGCCAGGGCCAGGGACTGGTGTTTAATGGGGACAGAGTTTTAGCCTGGGAAGCTGAAGATGTCCCAGATGGTGATGACTGCACAGTGATGAGGATGGATTTAATGCCACTGCCCTGAACACTCACAAATGGTTAAAATGGTAAATTTTACATTGTGTACAGTTTGCCAAAAGAAAAAGAAAAATGTTGAATAAGGCAGCGTTAGGGGAAAAGTTACCTTTTACTCTTTGGTACTGCTTGAATCTTTAAAAAATTACATCCATGCATTTATTTTTAAAGGTGTTTTTAAAATAGTCATGGCACGGAGATCCCTTGCCTGCCACATTCAGTGCAACCCACCGGGCCGGGGGGAGAGGGTGAAGAGAAGCCAGTGTCCTGTGGTGGGTTTGGCACAGGGCTCTCATTTCTGGCTCTTGTTGTTTGCTGGGTGAGCTGGGGAGACCCGGGGGGCCTCTGGTCCTCCCTTCCAGGCTTCGGTCAGTGTCCCTTCTGCACACCGAGGAGCCATGTCCCCTCCTACCCTCCCTGGCTGCAGCCTCTGACTTTCTGACCTTGGTTAGCCGGTGCCAGGGCACAGCTGAGCTGGACAGGGGCCAGCAGGCAGCAGTTTGGTTGCCTCGATGTGGCATGAGCGGCCCCTGCTTTGGGGTTGGTGCCGCCCTGTAAGGAGGAGGGGGCAGCCTGAGCCATCTGCCGCAGCCCCTGCCTGCACTTCTCTCAGGCCATGCACCGGCCTCTGCCCGGGCTCAGAGCCCTCTCCAGCTCCTGCTGTACCCCACCTGTCCCCGGCCCTGCAGAGCACAGGCTGTGCCTGAAACAGTTCCTCTGACAACTTGCATTTTAGTCTCCCTCCAGCTCTGAGGGCTGGTCAAGGCCACTAGCAGCACAAATAGCAACTTTGAGCAAAGTGAAAACAATGGTCGGCCTGGTGCTGCTGCTGGGACGTGTGTCTCCCCCACACCAAAGAGGGGCATCCAGGGCCCTAAGGGGGGTGCTTATCCTCACCAGTTTGGTTGGAGAAGGCGCCTGCACTCCACGGCTGGGGTGGCTTCTACCCCACCAGGAGGAGACCCTGTCAGGCGGTTCCTGGGTGGGGCGAGGAGGCCAGGGGCCAAGGGCAGGGCCTCTGTTCTTCCCCCGCAGAGGCAGAGAGCAGGGACTGGGAGAGTGAGAGAGGGCGGAGGGGGGGAAAGATGGAATAAATCATCAGCTGGAGACGGTGGGCGGTTTCAACTCACATACCAGGAACGCCATTTTTTAGAGGAAAAGGCAGTACAGGAGGGAAGGGCTGGCCAGGGGCTGGGTCCAGGTGGACAGGTGGGACAGGGGCTGGGTCCAGGTGGACAGGTGGGACAGGGGCTGGCTTGGAGGATGGCATGATTTGCCTCTGGATTCAAGAGCATGATCTGAAAAATGGGACCGGGGACCCCATGTCCCTCAGGTGCCACCACTGGTTTTCCCAGGTGCACCCCTCCCTGCTCTGTCACCTCTTGCCCTGCTTTCTGCACACCCTGCTTTCCCCTCCTTCCCGGGTTCTGCCTGTTCACAGGACATCTGCTTAACACTCCCTGGGAAGGGTTTAAACTGGAGCAAGAATTAATTGTGAGGGAGAGACTTTGTCCCTGGGACTGTGGTTAGGAGCTGGGCCCAGAGCTGGCAGACAGCTGACACTGAGTGCGGACCCTGTGCCCTTGATCCACCTCGTGCCTGGCCACCTTTGGCCTCCTGACATCCCACCTGCACTCCAGGAGGAAACCAGGGTCTTGTGGCAGACCTGTGGCTGGCCTAAGCCCCACCAGCAGCTCAAGTGCATTGCTGTCGGGGGAAAAGGCAACCCGGACACAGGTGGTGCAAACAGAGCACCCCCAGCCTCTTCCTGCTGCTTCTCCGGGGCTCAGAGACTTGAGTGGTTGGATATTTAGGGTTTTGGGGGCTGCCGATCAAAATCCTCACAAACAAGGGCAGGGCTGCCATGCTCAGTCCACTGACATCGCGAACTCATGAATGAGTCGTGAGGTGTCCCAGGCTCAAGCCCACAATGGGCAGCCTGAAATCAAACCATGGCTCTGTCACCTGTTGTCAGGCCCTGGAAGGGCCACTTTGCATGGAGTGGGTGCCCTTGTCACCACCATTTTACAGATAGGAGGACAGAGGGGCTAAGCAGCCGATGTCTTGTCCAGGGGCCCATGGTCAATGGGAAAGCTGAGAGATAAAGCCCGATTGATCTGATCTGTTATCTTGTTCCATTGTCAAATGCACTGCCTTGTCGCCATGGACTAAAGGAAGCTGAGGATGTCTTTGGGACATCAAGAAAGGAGTGCATTTCTCAGATTCTGCCCCTGAGACCAGGGACAAATCATCATCGAATCCCAGCCCACCCTGCCCTATGGTTGCCTCTGCTCCATCCCAGCCCTGGCCAGCTTCTGTCCTTCCACTGATGTGGAGTAAGCTTTGGTAGGGGACACATCAGGCATCCTGGGCTCCAGGCTGCAACTGTGACCTTAGGCAACCCACTCTCCTTTGCTGGCCTCAGTTTCCTCATCCATAAAGCAGGGGTCCGGCCTTCACCTCAACTAGAATAATAAACTTGAGCACTTGGGAGGAAAGTGACCAAAAGGCTTTCTGGCCTAACCATTGGACAGGGCTGAGAAACTCCCAGGGAAGGCTGTGAGTGTGGGGAGGGGAAGGGCGCTCTCAGCTTTGCCCTCGGGGAGTCGAGCTTACACACAGGCCACCTTCAGACACCCAGACATTTTGAAACGTGGGCTCAGCTCCAGTATGGCCACCAATTCCCCTGAGCAGCTCTCCCCCTCTCTGCTTTCCTGGCCCTCCACTTGGGGGGGGGGCTGCTGCCTGCTCCACACCACCCAGGCCCACAGCCAGGCTGAGCCCGAGGGCAGCAGTGCCACTCCGCGTCCGCTCACACCTGCACTCGGGAGGGTCCCAACCTGCCTTTGCTCCCCCTTCTCCCTCCCTGTCCATGTTCTCACCTGATCCTGGTGTCCCTCTGCATGCAGTGTGGTTGAAACAGAGATGCCCACGCTGTGTAGGACTCTACCCAGGGGCAGGCTGCGCAAGAAGGCAGGGCAGCGCGATCTCAGGATGAAGGGAGCGCCCTGCCGGACAGTGACGGCGGGAAGACCACATGATCTTACCCAGAGCATCACAGGCTGCCGAGCTTTAATTTATTTAATCAATTCCGGCCCCTGGGCTGGGGAAGGAAAACGGTAGGATATTAAATCTGTCGCTCTCACCAATCTGTCATAGGGATGTCAGCGCACATTGATTCTCCTCCTCTTGCCTTTATTAACTGTCTCCTCCGGGGCCGCTGGCTCCGCTAGTGCCAGGCTGGACCCTGCCGGGAGCAGGGAGCAGATTGCAGATGGAGAAACGGGTGTGGAGAGGGCTGCAGCGGGCAGGAAGACCTTCCAGGGGATAATTATAACAAGAAAACTTTTGGAGTTGGCAGGCGGGGACCCCGAGGATCATTTGTAATCCATGCTTTAATGTTTGCAAATGAGGACACTGAGTTCAGAGAGCAGTGGGGAGCTGGCTCCATTGCACAGCCCGTCGGGGGCAGGGTTGGAGCTGGAATCCAAGATTCCTGATGTCCAGGCAGGGTTTCTTTTATTCATTTATTTTCTGTGAGTGACTACTAAGTGGTAATAATATTTATCATTCAATGGTTGCTATATTAGGTTTCTCTGGCAGTAGTAACAAATAACCATAGCTTAGGGGTTTAAACAACACAAACATACTAGGCACCATGGTGCACACCTGTGATCCTAGCTACTTGGGAAGCTGAGGCAGGAGGACTGCAAGTCTAGGGCAATTTAGCAAGTCCTGGGCAATTTAGCAAGACCTAGACTCAAAACAAAAATTTGAAAAGGGCCAGAGGGTGTAGCTCAGAGCACTTTCGTAGCAGGGGTTCAATCCTCAGTACCAATAAATCAGTAGATAAATTGCAAAGGTATTACCCAGCAGCTCTGGAGGTCAGAAGTCTGAAATGGGTCCAGCTGGGCTAACATCAAGGTGTCAGCAGGACTGGGCTTCTTCTGGAGGCACCAGGGAAGAACCCATCTCTGTGCCTTTGCCATTTTCTAGGGGCTGATTAGATTCTTTGGCTTGTGGCCCCTTCCATGTTCAAAGCCAGCTAGATCAAGTCTAGCTCACATTCAACACTGACTCTCCCATCTCCCTGTTCCTTTGTGATCACAATGGCCCACCCAGATCATCTCCCCACCTTGAGATCAACTGATTGCCGACCCTAATTCCATCAGCAACCTTGACCCCACTTTGCCACCATATTCAGAGCTTCTGGTGAGTAGGACAAGGACATCTTTGTTCTTGGATGGACCTTTGGATTCTACCAACATCCTGAAGGGCCACACACCAGCAGCCAGCACCTCACTTCACGCTTGCCACAATTCTGTGATGTAGTGCTCAGCCCATTATGCAGATGACAAAACTGAGCTCAAGGAGGCTGAGATTTGCAAAGCCACAGAGCTGCTTGGTGGTGCTGCTGGGACACAGATTTGGGGGCCCTGGGTCCCAGAGACCAGGCTCCTCTGACTGCTGCACTGAGGGTCTCGACGTGCAGCCATCCAGAGAGGAGCAGGCTGGCATAGCCTGGCCTGGATCCAGGTGAGCAGAACAAGACCCTTCAAGGGTCTGCCTCAGCCTTGGCACATGGAGCAAGGTGAGGGAGCTGCACTTTTGAAGAAGGGAGACTTGGATGTCTCCCCAGACTTTGGGAGGCCCTTTCCTGCTCTAAATAATCAAGCATCCTCCCTCCTCCCTCTCCCCGTCTGTCCCACTCTCCCTCAGAAGATTTATTTGCTCATAAAATTGAAGGCCTACTTCTTTGGCACCATTTTCTGTTCAGCTTAGACAAATATTTAGCAGCCAGACCTGACCTTAATTTCCTTAAATATCAGGGGGTGAAAGATGGAGCACCTGGCCAGCAGGGAGGACACGTGCTCCTCTTGGGGACAAGGACTGAGATCCTGTTCCCCTTCCCTTGGCGGGGAACCCCTCTTCCCATGACCATCCAGGTCTCTCCTCCAGGGACAACTGGCCAGGGTCGGTTCCAGCGACTGTGCCCCGAGGACCTGGCATTCTGGGCTGGTCCTCCCTGCAGGGTGGTGACAGAGAAGTCACTGAGCCCCATTCCCAAGGCTCCTGCCTTGTGGGGTACAAGTGGGACTGCTCATAGGTGGAAGGTGAAGGCATTGGCTGGGGAGAGGGACACTCATACTGGGGCTGCCAGGGCTGGTGACTCATTTGTTCTCTCACCCACAATTCATTCATTCAATTCATTGATTCACTGAAAAATGTCCCGTCCTGCGTTGGGCTCGGTGATCAAAAACACAAAACTAACACAGCTCATGGGAGCTCAGGTGGTGAAAGCTGGCCAGGAAGAAGGAAGGAGTCAGAAGCGTCCTCAGAAAGGAGTGAGCAAGATGAGTCCCCAAGGATGCGTTAAGCTCTCTGCAAAAGACTGAATGTCATAAAGAAGACACACGGAGGGCAGGAAGCAGAGCAGGCCATGCTGGGGCCTGTTCTCAGCTCTGAAGTCTTGTCCCTCCTTCCTGAGTCTGTCCTTGCCTTCTATGCTTCCTGTTTGTGGAGGTGGGGCCACCAGGGTCCTCCCAGCCACCCGAGTGGACACGACCACTGTCTCCTCCTGTGGCAATGATACCAGCTACTGGGCCCAGCACTTTATGAACATTGTCTCGTTTGATTCTCACTGCAGCCCTACGAAGCAGACAGTGTGATCTCTGCTTCACAGAAACTGAGGTTGAGAGGGAAGGTCACATCCCCAAGGTCACCCAGGCAGTGTGTCACACTCTACTCCGGGCATAGCCAGTGCAAAGGCCCAGGGTGGGAGGGAGCCTGGTGCGTGCAGAGAAAGGCAGGGGCCCAGCACAGCTGGAGTGTGCAGGAGAGAGTAGGGCAGGAGAGTGTGGTTCTGTTGGGTCGCACCCTGGGGTGCACAGCTGGAGCCCGCCACACCCAGCCCTCACCAGGGCCCTGGAGCCTGCTCTTGCCTCCTCTGGGCCTCTCTGTCTATGCCTGTAAAAGAACAGCCCCCTGCTCCAGGAACCTGCATTTTGAGCCAGCTACATTTTCGCTCCGGGCCTCTGTTTTCTCATCAGTCAATGGGACAGTAACAGTGTCTATCTCAACTTTCTGTCATGTGGATCTGGGCAGAAAGCGTGAGCGATTCCTAGCAGGGTGCGAGGCGTCAGTACATGGTCAGCACACGTTGGTTCACTCTTGGTTGTGGGGCGAGTTGTGTCCATGGGAAGTTGTGCAGGAGCCCTAGGTCCCTAGGAGCTGGGAGTGGGACGGTTTTGGGAAACAGGGCCTTTGCAGATGCACTCAAGACCAAGAGCATCCCGAATTAGAGCGGGCTCCAATCCAAGGACAGATGTCCTTACAGAGTGAAGGCTGGACATAAATACACAGAGAGCACGCCGTGCGGGGCTGGAGACAGAGGCTGGAGCACCACATCCACCAGCCTGGAGATGCCAAGCACTGCCACCAGCAGAAGCTGGAAGGAGACGTGGAACAGATTCTGCCCCAGAGCCTCCTGGAGCAAGGTCCCCATCAACTCCTCACTTTTGGACTCATATCCTACAGGAAGCTAACAGACTAACTCTCGGGGGCGGTCACTTTTGTGGTAGCTCCGGGAAGGAAGTGCAGTCTCGTTGCAGAGCACAGTGCCAGGTACGCAGTGCACCCCGAGTCTTGCTCCCTTTGGTCTCCTTGCTGCCCCTCTGCCTCTGCTGTCTCCTCTCATCTGCCCCTCCTCTCCTTGGCTCATCCTGTCACAACACTCTGGGCTGGGGGGTGACTCGGCCAGGGCAGGCAGCCAGAGCAGTCCCTGGCTCCCAGCCGAGGCCCGCAACACCTCATTACCAGGCGGGATGTAACGCAATTTCACCCATGGACAATGCTGAAAGCCAGGCCTCCGAGGGCCTAATGGATGGACGGAAGTGGCTGTGGATGCTCCCACCCTCTCCCTGGCCTGAGAAGCTCCGAAGCGCCCAGAGAAGCTGCCACGCAGCGTGCTCGACAGCTGAGGAGCGGAGATAAACCTGGCCAGAGCACTGGCCTGCTGGTCTGGGAACAAACATCAGGAAATTAATGGGTCTTCCACAGGCAGCGCCACGCTGGTCCCCGACTCTGCAGGATGCCTCGCCCCCACCCCTGCTGCCGGCTCTCCCTTCCTGGGCTTTGTTCCCTTCTTCCCTTTGTTTCCTGTTTGTGATAAACATGATTCATGCCAGTGCTGCCAGGCCCTGTCACCAGCCCAAGGCCAGCTGTAGATCTCAGCAACAAACCACACAGCACCAGGGCTGGGGCTCACATGGGTGCAGGGGCAAGGGCCAGGCCAGGAGGGCAGATGATGTAGCGCCGGATGTACACCCGGTGATGTAGTGTCCTGGGGGGAACCAGTGTCAGAGCCGTGACCATGGCCAGGCCCTGTGGTCCCAGTCAGCTTCCTGAGGCAGCCCTGACAAAGCCCCCGCACCCACAGCGGCTTAAGCAGAGAAATGTGTCCTCTCTGGTTCTGGAAGCGAGAGGTCCACACTGAAGGTGTCCACACAGCAGGGCCCTGGTTGGTTTGAAGCACATAGCGAAGTTTCTTCTTGTCCCTTCTGGCTTCTAGTAGTGGCCAGAGCTGCTCAGTGCTCCAGAACTGCCTGGCCCCGGGCTCTGTCTCTGTCCTCACAGGGCCTGGTCCCCACCTGTCTGTCTTTCCAGCTGACCCACTCCTCCCTGGGTCTCTCTCTCCTCTTCTACAGACACCTGTCAGCAGGCTAAGGGCCACCTACTCCAGTGTGGCCTCATCTTAACTAATTACATCTGCGAGGGTCCTCTTTCCAAGTATAGTCACATTCACAGGCTCCGGGGCTCAGCGTTTGGACCTATCTCTTTGTGGAGGACACTTTTCAGTCCCCAGCTCCTGGGGGCCTGGCCTGCACTTTCTCCTCACTGCCCGGCACATACCTGATGTCTGCCATGCCGGTTCCTACGCGGGGCACAACTTTCCTTCTCTGCTCTGTTCCTCCTCCCTGGATGCCTGACTCCCGTCTACCTGTCCACTGGACCCCATGGCTGTCCAGTGAGGA